TGGAATACTGGGCTAAAGTCAAGATCTAAATTTATGTGTAATAGTATGATCACAAATTAGCCAAAAACATTAAAAAAAGACTTTAAAGGACATATGTATGCAAGGGAACATACTCATAAAGCAAAGGTTGGCTTTAAGTGGGAAAACTGATTTTCTTTTCCCCTTGTGCTTTTTAAAAATTGTCTACAAAGAGGAAATATGATTTGTACAGCAAGTCAAACTTCTTTTAGGTTGAAAGATGCCATGCCTGGATTTAGTTACAGTATTTTAGTTTTTTAAAACTGGGTTTAATATAGCCCAACAGGCCTTGAACTCACCACATAGCCAAAAATGGCCTTGAACTTCTGATCCTGTCTCCTCTCCCAAGACCTGGGATTACAAGTGTATGCCACCACATCTGGCACCATAGTTTTGAAATTTCTAACAGCAAAAAGTCCCTGTCACTGTCCCATCACTTTTTCCATATTTCTAACGCAGTACTTCCCAATCTTTTTTTTCTCCTCTTGTTACAGTAACCATTCTCTAAATATCTTGAGATTGGAATGCTCTTTTAAGATAGTTTTAAAGACACTTTGGGACCCCATACATATTTTAAATTTAATATTTATAGAGAGAATTATTAAAAGACTGGACTTTGTAATCCTGTAAGTTAATAGTAGTTGGTTATGTCTACATAATCTGGAGTGATTTCTATTTTATTTTGTCTACTTTCCAATAATCTCATTTTCTGTAACGTGTGCTTTTGTAATTGAGGGGAGAAGGTGTTTAAGAATACTTATTACGTTATATTTCCACAGGGAACTTCCACACTTGATGTAAAATCAAAATATAACCACAAAATCAAAAGTAAGATTTTTCATTAAACTAAATGGAATCATAGGAAATGTGGTTACCAAAAGTATTTTATTAACTGTCCTGTGTGACTTAGTGAGTGAAAACAGCAGGGCAGGGCAGAAACAAGTAGGCTGTTGTCTATCTTTGTGCCACTCACCAATTCTGCCATCTTGCCATGCCACTTAATGCCTCCTTAGCTCAGATTCTGTATTTGCAAAATAATAATTTCAGACTAATATTGAAAAAATACCAGCACTAGCAGTCTGAATAAATGCTAAATAGATCAATTAAACAGAATATTTAGTCTCTGAAAACAAAAGGAAAAATACGTCTTTTAAAAAGTGACAGATCCAGAGAAAATCAGCATGTTCATGTTGGAGTGTAATTACTATCACATTTCCATCACACTCTTACTATTGCTTCAAGGTTTGTAAATAAATGCTTCTAGTTTAGCAGAGAAAATAAAGGAGTTCAAAGCGAGGGGGAAAGTCCATCCTCCTTGACTGGCTCTCACATGGTTTCTCAGACCTCAAATCTGGGACTCTTCAGAAGCAGCCAGTCAATTGTAGCTGCCACAAGGGCACAAAGCGAAAGGGACCTCTGAGGTAATTGAGGTTTTAATCAGCACTGAATAGGTTTAATTCCACATTTCAAACTATGCTTTGAAGTAAACAAATAACATGGCAGGAAATCTGGATTTGTTCTCCTAATGTCACTTTGTCACTAACTACTTGTGTGACATTAGACAAGACACTTAAGTTCCCTGGGCCTTATCACCCAAAAAAAAAAAAAAGTAGGGTGGATATTTTACTTGCCTACAGACAGAAAGTTGGACTACATGCTCTCCTGTGGTCCGCGAAGCTCAGCTCTATGACTCTAAATTGCTGATATAAGCAAGGGAACAAAAGAATAGCTTAGACCTTTTAAGGGTCTTCATGATGAAATTGCCAGTGATCAATTTCAATTTTTTGTTAATTTTCTAAAGTAGCTTTTCTTGCCAGGCCAAATTCAATATACTTAGCTAGGGAGTCTAAGACACATATAAGCTATCACTATTCTAATTCTCCTTTTGGCAAAGTATTTACCTTAAGAAGCATTTGGACTTCAGATAAAACTTCTTGGCCAGGAGACAGCGGGGGAAAGAATTTTTTTTATGATGATTATAATGGACTCAAACTGGCATAGACATAACAAAACTTCTCCACCCAGAGCTGATGCAGCACTCAATCTAGCTGACCACTGCTAGCCCGGGGCTCTGGCTGTAATGTTAAATGATAGTGGCTTGATTAACCATCAGCCTAGTATGAATGGCCAGACAGGATTCCATGTCAGCAATGTATAAGAGCTTGGTTGCTCAAAGTATGTTGAGGGCCACAATCTTGATAAAGCTTGGGCTAGGCCATTCCTAAGAGGGTGGCATTTTCTTTTGCTAATCTGTGACTAAGAATGCCGAATTTACACAATTGGGCTTGTTGGCGGTTGTGCTCATTCATTAAAGGAGTGCCAAACAGGGTCTCTGGACCCTTACCTGAATATCCAGCCACTCTTTCCAACCATTCTTCCCAGCCAACTAGTCCAGCTTTGGAAGACAAAAGAAAAATGAGGAAGAACCCAATATAGGGATGCTTTTGGAAGCCCTTGTCAAGAAACTCCAATGGACTCTCATATGAACATTTGAAAATTGTCCTGTTCTGACTTTTTTCTAGTTCCCTGTCTAGAACTTGTAATGCTAATTACTCTTGCCTTTACTTCTCCTTCACATCTCCCATTCATGGTTCAAGGACTTTCTTCTCCCCTTAGACACAAGAGTTACGCAATTTGGGAGTCTTTTAGATAGACCCACTGAAGGGGTACTCCAATTGCCTCACCCTGCATCCCTGTTCAGCATGGAAGAAGCCAGAGCGGTCAGCGTCCCTATTCCCTATTGGCAATTTGGGCAACCCCTTCAGAGGATGGTGTGATAAGAATAGGAGGTAGGAATTGGCTAGGCAGTTAGGGTAAAAAGACCCCAAAGAAATGTAGCCAGTTTCTTGGCTAAAAGTCAAAATGTCCTTGGGCCTGTTAGCAACATACTCTGTTCCAAGGCCAAAAATGTCAAAAAGATTTGGGAGCTTGTATCTAATCCTTAAAAGATTTTAGGGTTGCCTGTTCAGAGGAGGGAACGGTGGTGGGGAGGGAGTAGACATGGATTTGATCAAAACACCTTATATGCATGTATGAAATTCTCAATAAACTTTTTGTAAAATTTTTTTTAAAAATGCCGACTTTAGATCTGTTTATTTTAGCTCTGTATCTTATTCTTTGATGAAAATGCATTGCTTCATTCTAAAACCCCTCAAATCCTACAGCATGTCCTATCAATATGGCAAACATTTGTATCTTTGATTAGAAAATTACATGGCTGTAAGAAGGATTTGGAAGTTATTAACCAGTAGGGAAGTTTATCTCAGCATAATAGAGCATATGAACAAATTGCAAACAACCTAAATTTTCCACATTGCGGAATTTTTAGGCTGCAACCACAAGACAGAAAAAAGTTATACAATAAAAAGTGCTGCTGAGTGTCTATAACATGAGTAAATGTTTACAATATATGTTAAGTTTAAAGAGCAGGATATGAAAATATATGTAATATAAGGCTAGTCATGCAATGGCAAAGATGAAGAGATATACTGAGAAAAAAGCAGGGGGGAAATAGCCTAGAAGGGTTCTCCACAATTTTAACAGTGCTTATTTCTGTGAAATAGGATTAGAATGTTTTCAAATGATGTTCTTTATCCTTTTCAATATCTTTAGGGTCTCTGAAATGAGATTGCATCATTTTTAAAACTAAAAAACCTGTTTTCAAAGAACTTTCATCAAAATACAGAAAAATTATTTTATGAAAAACCTCATAAAGATAGTGTTTAAAATGAAAAAGCATATCCTACCCAGAGAGAAGCCCGAGAGAAGAACATCAGGACCAATATAATGAGGAAATACCAAAGCAGGAAGGAGCCTATTGTCCCACAGGAGTCATCTTTCCGGCACTCGTCTTGGCTTGGAATGGTAAAACCTAGAGGGATGGGGGGTGGGTCTACCTGCCAAAATAAAGAAAAAAGATCTCCCATGGTAGCTTCTTACTTAGAAAATAAGACATGCTCAAAGGAATGTGGGTGACTGGGAACTATTTTCCTCCATGACCTATGACAACTTCCCTAGCAACCTATTATGACATACACTGAAGCAACTGTTACAGGAACTGATAAATCTTGGATTTCTAGGATCAGAAGACTTATCTAAATACAGTTCCTTCTGTCTCAATCTTTTCTTTCTTTAAGTATTTAAGGTATTGGTTTTTAATCAGCCTCTTTTTTACGTATCATACCACTGTAAATTAACATACATAATTCTAAGGCCTTACAGACTGTATTATGGTTTCTAAAATTCAAGTGTTGATGCCTTCAGCCCCAATTTGTATCTGGAAATAAGAGGTAGTAAAGAGCAGGTGAGATGGCTCCGTGGATAAAAGGCCTTACTGCCAAGCCTGACAACATGAGGTCAATCCCTGGCCCCAACATGGTGGAAGGACAGTACGGACTCCCATCATAAGCTGAACTCTGACCTCTACACATTCACTACAGCCCACACATTCACTTGCATACCCATACTTACAGGCATACACACACCCACATAAAATCAATGTCATTTAAAAAAAAACATTTTTAAGAAGTAATGAAGTCTCAGTCAAGTCATAAGGGTGGAGCCTTGATCCAGTTAGTGCCCTCATAAGGAGAGGAAAAGACACCAGGGATTCACCAGCCAGGTAAAAATAAGGCAATAAAAAAGGATGAAATGAGACCAATGGCACAGGCCTCAGGAGAAACAACCATGGGGACAACTTGGTCTTCGACTTCCATCTTCCCAAACTATGAGGGAAAAAAGCCATGTCTGTTTTTTAAACTATCTCTGACATCTTTTTGAAGGGAGCAACCCTATTTCTGGGATATTTTGTTACGGTATCTCTAATACATAATGGCAACTATCAAATTCAGTTGACAAATGTTCTTTTTTTTTAAACTTATTTTTATTTTATGTGTATGTGTGTATTGCCTGCATGTAGATAAGTGCACCTGTGTCATGCAATGCCCATGGAGGACAGAAGAGGCTGTCGGGTCCCCTGAGACTGGAGTTACAGCCAGTTGTTGGCTGCCATGTGGGTGCTGGGATACGAACCCCGGTCTTCTGCAAGAACAGTCAATGTTCTTAACCGCTGAGCCATCTCTCCAGCACCCAAATGTTCTTTTGTAAGCCTTGAATAAATGCACAATAATTTATAGATTACATAAGAGGAGGAAACAGTGCCAGTTGAGGTGGCTTACACCTTTGAGGCCAGCCTGGTCTACATAGTGAGTTCCAGGCCCGCTGTGCCTGTGGCTAAGGGAGACCCTGTCTCAAAGAAGACACCAACCCCCCATCCCACTCCCCCCATACAGTAACCCACCAGGCTTCAGGAGCAATACCATAATGAAACTTCATCTTGTTTAACTTTGTAATTACCTTAGAAAAAAATATTTACTCATGGAACTTACATGAAGCAGTAACACACTGGCTTACTGTGGCATGAGTTAATATTATTATGGGCCACACTTTTCTAAATGGAATGAGTGCCCAGGCTTAGTGTCACCGCCCCCAGAAAGCTCTCCCAGAGCTGAGACTGAACTGGATATGACTTCTCCAGGCTTCCTGCTTCCCACCTCACCCACCCGTGGTCTACACAGGCAGAGCTCCTATAACAATAACCAGGGACCTATAATTTTCCATATTCCATGCCTGGCTCAGTGGCACATTGTAAGTACTTGCACTTTTAAGTAAAACGAAACTCAACACTCTGGACTCCATAAACTCTCAGTAATTTTTTTTTCAAAGAATATTCAGGGCCAAACATGGTTTTGGTTGTTTTTTAACCTCAATACGACTAGCTTCAATAAAACAGGTTGTTTTTACTTCCTACTGCTGCATCCTCATCACATGAATATTTGGGAATTTACATTGGGTCAGAACAGTTGGAGGAAAAACATTTTAACACAGGGAAAAGAAACACTTTGTCCTTGCTCATCAGGTCTGGACACACCACACACTCTTGTACCCTACAAGCTAAATAAGATCTGCTGAAAAATGCCGGTCCATAAGGGTCCTAAGGAAACGAAAATTAACAATATACAAAATTCAGCTCGTTACAGCCATTACTTTTTCTAAGGGTTCAGAACCTGGTCTGAATTTTGCTGCTCATCTTTCTCCCAGCAGCAGAGGAGGAGCCACAAATCCGCCGGCGTTTCCCTGGCAACGACGAGCCCCCGTCCCTCTGCCTCCCTCTCCTTCTCGCGAGAAGAGACGGCCCAGAACTTCCGATAACTATAGCGCCCCCGCCCCGCAGCCAGCCCGCCACAGACTTAGCCTCGGCTTCACGCATGCGCAGTAGAGAGTGGCGCGAGCCCGCGGCTTCCGGCTGAGGAACATGGTGCGTTTTCGGGGTCGTCTTTGTGCTTCCTGGAGGTGGAGTCCACGCGGTCTCCGAGAGTTTCACACCTAAAGATGTGCCTGGGGTTCTCCAAGGGAGGATGTGGCCAGGAGTGCTCCGCTTGTAGTGGAGGGGAGGAAAGAAACAAGAAGTGTTTCGAGTTTGTGGCCAGGGAGGGAAGCGGCGGCCGGAGTTTTGGCGCGGGGCTGGATGGCGGGAAGGACACCAGTCTGTCGCGTAGGATGCGACTCCCTGGTGCTTAATATGGCAGTGATTGCAGAGCTGAGTCTAGCAAAACAGAAGATATTCCCGATGTACCCGAACAGTGCACACGTTCCCCGCCTTTCCGCCTGTCCTTTCACACTTGTCCCAGCACCCGTAGAGTCTTAAGAGTATGTCATCACCAAAAAGAGATCCCTGGCCTGTATCAGTCCGTGTGCAGAGTGAGAGTTTGACACAAGAGTGGCAAAACTTATAATCTTGAGTTTCTTAACCCTTAGTGTAGACCTTGTAGCGTAATCGAGTCAAAGACAAAACTCTGCAGACTTAACCATTCGCTGGGAACAGTAAATTGTTCTCCGAAATAACCAACCAGTTCTCTGTTCATTGCTACCAAAGAAGGCATAATTTTAGAATTCCCTTTTCATATACTAGTATTAAAATGAAAAGAAAAGGTTTCTATAAGACATTTTAAAGAGGAAAAAGCTGTGTGGTTGTTACTTTATAAAAAACACTATCTTGGTTTCTTAAAAGTTTCCATTAATTCCTGTGGTTTTTTTGCTTTTAAATAGATGCAAGGAGATGTAAGCCCCAGTGCTTCCCTTATTGACAGAACCATCAAGATGAGAAAAGAAACAGAAGCTAGGAAAGTGGTTTTAGCCTGGGGATTGCTAAACGTGTCCATGGCTGGGATGATTTATACTGAAATGTAAGTTAATCAGCCAGGAAGTGAAAATACAACTACATATGTATATATATAAAATTTTTTTTTCTCCCCCACTGTATTTTGTTGTTTGTGGTGGTGGTGATTTTTTTTTTAGTGAATTGAAAAGCCTTTCTAATTTTTTCAGGACTGGAAAGTTGATTAGTACATATTATAATGTGACATACTGGCCCCTCTGGTATATTGGTAAGTAATTAATTTTTGCTGTGATTTAGATTTACTACCAATACTTGCTCACTGGTTTAATTCAGCTTCATATTTATTCCTTCGTTCAAACAAATAGTGAGTACCTCTCTGTTCCCCAAGCCAGGCGTATAGCAGGGAAGTACCAAGGTAAAAATCCTCTCATGGAAAGAAGATTCTAGCAGGAGGATTGCTTCAAGTTTGAGGCCAGCCTGTTATATATAGTGAAACCGTGTCTCAGAAAGCAAGATGTGGTGGTACACATCTGTAGTCGAAGTACTTGGCAGGTGGAAGAAGAATCAGGAATTCAAGGCCAGCTCTTGAGACCCTGGCTCTAAGTAAATAAAGTTAATAAACAGTACAGTTCTGGGTAATTAGGAGTTCTAGGAAAAAAACTCAAGCTGAGAAGTGAATGCTTTTCCAGTTTCTTTGTTCTTCCTTCCTTTGCCTACTCTTCCATAATCCTTGGATCTAAGGAGCCCAGGGATGTTAACGTAAATTTCATAGTCTATACCCATTAAAATCTATCATGGGAACTGATATGGCAAGTGGAGGATCAAGCAAGGAGTTTGGAATCTACAGGCCTGAGTTAGAGTTGTGGCTCACAAACATGCTGGGTACTCATCTAAAATTCACTTGGCTTATCCGTGACTAATATTAAAATGAGGGTGAGAATATTTATTGTCCAGATCATAAGAATTAGTAGTAGTTTAAAACCCACTAGTAAGTACCGTACACCTAATAGGTGCTCATTAAGTATAGCTATTGTTGAGGAATAAAAGACTGGTTTTTGTTTTTTGATGTTAATTTGCTCTGTATGGAAGGGTTTTTATGCCCCAATCCCAGCTTCACCCCAACCAGTTGCTGAGGCTGGAACCAGGACTTTCCTGCCTTTTATTTATTATTATTATTATTATTATTTTAATGTGTCTGAGTGTATTGCCTGTATGTGTGTGCACGCACCCATGTCATGCAGTGCTGCAGAGGTCAGAAGAGGGCTTCGAATTCCCCTGGAACTGGAGTTAAGGATGGTTCGAAGCCGCCATGTGGGTGCTGGGAATTGAACCAGAGTCCTCTGCAAGAGCAGTCAATGCTCTTAACTGCTGAGCCATCTCTCCAGCCCCCTTCCCGTCTTTTAAAACATAAATTGGGGCTAGTGAGATAAGACACTTCCCACCAAGCCTAACAGCCCAAGTTCAACTCCCAAAACCCACATGGTAGAAGGAGAGAACCAACTTCTACAAGTTGTCTGTTGACTTCCACATGATACACCTGTGCCCCATCACACACAGATAAATAAATGTAAAACATTAATAAATAAAAGTTCATAATAATGAATTGTTGTTCCCTTCCAGAGCTTGCCCTTGCATCTCTTTTCAGTCTTAATGCCTTATTTGATTTTTGGAGATACTTCAAATATACTGTGGCACCAACAAGTCTGGTCGTTAGCCCTGGACAACAAACACTTTTAGGGCTGAAAACAAGTGGTAAGTGCAAAGCCATGGAGGAGGTTGGTGATAAATTTTTTTTAGTTTTCTCTTTTCATAGACTCAGCTAGAAGAGACTTCTAAGGCCAGCTGGTTCAACTGTAGTAAGCAAAAAATAAGAACTTGTCATATGATCGATGATTACCATTGTTATTTGTATAAATTGAGTGGAACTATAACCAACCGCCTCATGAAAATATGTTTTTACTGTTCAGATAAAGTAAAATAACTTGCTGCATTGGCAACTTAATATTTTGAAAATTGTGAAATGGTAAATAGATAACTTGTTTTTTAGTACTAACACTTCATGTGATTTGAGTTCCTTAATCTGTTCTAATTTTATTTACAGTCTGAAGGCTGAGGGAAGAAGATCTTATGGTCAGTGCTAGCCTGAGCTACATAACAGAGCCCAATTATTGATTTATTTATTGGTCTTTTTGAGACAGGGTCTTTCCTCTCATGTTCTTGCCTATTGAGCTGGCCTGGAACTCGATTATGTAGCCTCAGCTGACCTGGAATGCACTATGTAACCCAGACTGGTCTTGAGCTCCCATGATAGATTTTAATGGGTATAGACGAAATTTATGTTAACATTCCTGAGCTCCTTATACCCAAGGATTAAAGGTGTATGCCCTCACTCCTGACTAGAGCCCAGTTTTTTAATGAGTTTTTTAAAATTTAAACATCTGTTTTGTGTGTGTGTCTGTGTGTGAGAGAGATTTTATTTATTTATTTATTTATTTATTTATTTATTTATTTATTTTCCTTCTAGTTGTACAGCCCACTCCTCCACGTGATCTGGCAGCCACCCAAATCCCTCCCTCTCCAACTTCCCCTTCAATTCAAGGTCAGAGTGTATTAAGTTATAGCCCATCTCGTTCACCCAGCACCAGTCCCAAGTTTGCCACCAGCTGCATGACTGCATACAGCCCTCAATTGCAAGGACTCTCTTCAGGTGGTGGAGGTTCCTACAGTCCTGGAGTGTCCTACTCACCAGTCAGTGGTTATAATAAGGTAATGACTCTTTTTGTTTGGCCAGTAACATTATTTTAGAATTGGGAGATACAGAAAAATGACCCAGTGAGTCAGAACTTTGCATTTAATTGATGAGGAAACTGAGGAACAATGGGTTTTCTGAATCACCCATTTAAGAGCCAAGAATAGAAACCAAGTTTCCTGGCACCTGTTAAAAGTTCTTTAAATAGCATCTTAAAATTGAAAGAGAAAAAAATTTAGCACCTTCAACAATAATAAAGTACGAAGATTCCCATCTAGTTTGTGCAGCCTTGAAAATCATTTGAGTTTCTTTTATTCATGCTTGCTCTCCCCTTTTGCTTCTGTATGTGAAGGCTTCATTTTCCCTGATAGAAATAAACACTTTTGAACCTTGCTGCTGTGTCTTTGCTAAAACCTGAGATTGATGTGGAGTTTGCTTCTCAAGCTTGGACACTTGCTGTGGCATGAGAAGTCTTCATTTTAAATTCTGTAGCAATCGTAGCCTTTGCTCTTGTATTCCTGTCTATTACCAACAGAATTGTGTAGGTTGAAATTTGAACGCTTGAAGCAGAAGGCCCCAAGCGAGGCACCAGAAGAGGAATGGTCATGTTGAAAGCTCTGGTTACTGTGCTGGACTAACATCTCTGTGGCTTCCCATTAGAAGATAGCCTAGAATGAAACCAGTACAGTCTGTCCTTCCCTTTGTACATACTTTTTAAACTTGAAACTCCATGCAGCATTACACAGTGTTAAAATTAATTTTGGCAGGTAATAGGATTTTTTATTTAATTTTTATTTTATGTGTACGAGTATATTGCCTGCATGTATGTGAGTGCACCTGTGTCGTACAGTGCTGTGGAGGTCAGAAGAGGGCTTTGGATTCCTCTGGAACTGGAGTTAAGGACAGTTCGTAGCTGCCATGTGGGTGCTGGGAATCGAACCCGGGTCCTCTGCAAGAGCAGTCAGTGCTCTTAACTGCTGAGCCATCTCTCCAGCCCCAGTTGTAGAATTTTTAAACTTTTGTAGACATTAAATGTTAGGAAAAAAGTCATAATTCATAAACTACATGTTAGCGTGGCTTTTTAAAATCATTTTCACAAGTGCTGTATGATCATTATAGGAAATGAGAAAAGGACAGTCCTACTATTCAAAGTAATCATTAATGTCTACTTGCTCACATAGCTTGATCACATGCATATTTAAGTTATTTTCATTTTTTCTTTTTTTTTGTCTCCTTTGTGTTACTTTCAGCTTTAAAAAATTACTAACTTGTACCAAAAAGCTAGGTACATAAAATTCTTGATAAATTTAGAGAGGGGTATTGTAGCATGCCAGAAGAATGGTACTGATTACATTAACAAAAAATGTACAGGTGTGTTCATATTAGTCAGGTATGGTGGTGCAAACCTTTAATCCTGGCATATAGGAGGTGAGGCAGGTGGACCTGAGTGAGTTCAAGACCAACTTGGTCTACTTATCAAATTTCAGCCCAGCTGGGGCTACATAGCAAAATCCTGTTTAAAAAAATGATACTCATTTTACTAGTCTTGATGATGAAATTAATTTTTTTATAAATCTCTGCCAAGAAAAATGAGGACAGTCATCTATTAGAACTTCACGTTTATTTCTTATAAAGCCACTGACATAAAACAAGAATTATTCATTACTCCCTTTTCTTTTGGTTTTGCTGTTTTAGTTTTTTCTCGTTATTTTCGGGTCTGGCCTGGAACTTGCTATGTAGACCAACCTGATCTTGAACTCACAGAGATCTGCCTACCTCTCTACCTCTCAAGTGCTGGGATTAAAGGTTTGTGCTACCTGGCCTGGGTTTGGTTCTTTGTTTTTCAACAGTTACTTATTTATTTGTGTATGGCAGGGAAGCATATAGGACATGGCACTCATGTGCAGGTCAGAGGACAGCCCGCAGGAGTTGGTTCTTTTCTTTGACTGTGTGGATCGCAGGGATTGAACTCAGGTTATCAGGCTTGGCAGGTGTCTTTGCCTGCTGGGTCATCTAGCTGTGCTTCTTTTGGGCCTTTATCTGCTGACTTCTTTTTTCCCTTTAGGTTGCTATTCAGCTATGGAATTTTTTTTTTTTTTTTAACTTTTTTTTTTTAGTGTGTATACATGTAGGTAGGTAAGGTAGGTAAGTGCACCCATGTCATGCAATGCCCTCAGAGGTCAGAAGAGGCTGTTGAATCCCCTGGGACTGGAGTTACGGATAGTTGTTAGCTGCCATGTGGGTGGGTGCTAGGATTTGAACCCTGGTCTTCTGCAAGAACAACCAGTGTTCTTAACCACTGAGCCATCTCTCCAGCCCCCAGCTATGGAATTTTTAAAGCTCCACATTTGTGAAAGGTTTTTTTTTGTTTTGTTTGGTTTGGTCTTTTTTGAGACAGGATCTCCCTGTAGCCCCAGCTGACCTGCCTGGGACTCAATATGTAGACCAGTCTGGCCTTGAACTCACAGAGATCCGCTTGCCTCTGCCTCATAAGTGCTGGGATTAAAAGCGTGTGCCAGCATGCCCAGCCAAATGTTTTTTATAAAGATTTATTTTTATGCTTATGCCACACATATGCAGGTTACCCTCAAGAGACCAGAAGATAGCATTGGACACCCTGGAGTTACAGGTGGTTGTGAGCTGCCTAATATAGGTGCTAGGACCCCAAACCCCATTTTCTATAAGAGCAGCAAGTACACTTCACTGCTAAGCCGTCGCTTCAGTCCCAAGTTTTAAATTTTTAATGGTCATATCTGCTTATCTTCTTGGATTTTTTTAAGTTATATTAAATCTTAATTATCATGGGGTCTTTTGGGGGTATTCCTTCCCCTTAGTCTGTCCCTTTTAGTTCTGTATATAGCAGTTCCTAGGCCAGAGAGATGGTTCAGTGAGTAAAAGAATTTGTAAGCCCGATGGCTCGGGCTTTCCACACATGCCATAGTGCATGTGTCATGGGCATACTTCATTAATAAGCAATTAATAAGAAAAAATTCTTAAATTCTTATATATTAAGTAAACATTTAAAGTAGTAATGTTAATGATGAGTGTATACCAAAATCAATACCCTGTCCTCTTCTGAAAGGAACATAATTTTGAGTAACATTTTCATTTAATAGATGTGAATAATTGTTTTGGTGGTTTTCTTTTTTTGGACAGGGTCTCCTGTAGCCTCAGCTGGCCTGTATCTTACTATGTAGACCAGGTTGGCCTTGATCTCACAGAGATTTGCCTGCCTCTGCCTCCTAAGTGTTGGGATTAAAGATGTGTGGCCGGCATATGAATAAGTATTTTGAAAGGTCATGTTCTTTGGACAGATAATTCCAGTTTGAGGAATCTATCCTTTAAAAAGCCATAAAGAGCTGGCAAGATGGCTCATCAGGTAAAGGCACTTGCCACTAAGCATGAGAACTGAGTTTGATCCCTAGGACCCACACGGTAGAAAGAAAACTGACTCTACAAAGTTGTCCTCTGACTGCTACAACGCACACATGCACACTGCTACAACGTACACACGCACACATGCACAAAGTTTTAAAAATTAGAAAAAGAAAGCTATCAAAACACACACACACACACACATATATAAAATGGGGTGGGGGGCCGTAAAAGCCATCAAAAAATCAAGCAAAGCCAGGCATGGTGGTTCACACCTTTAATCCCGGCACTTGAGGCAGAGGCAGGTGGATCTCTGTGAGACTGAGGCTGGCCTATCTGCCAAGCAAGTTTCCTGTCTTAAACAAATGAAACAACAACAAAAAATCCAAGCAAAGATTTCTGTACAGTGATGTTCATAATGTTACTTACAGCAGCCAAAAATTGGAAAAATCTAAATGTTCAGAATAAGCAAATATAAAAATAAATGTTTTATTTTGTGAATGTCTTCCTATAGGGATTATAGACTGTATTGTAATTTATGCTGGTCAGTGGCGGTGGCAAGTCTCATGTAGCCCAGGCTGGCCTAAATTCAATGTAGCTGAGGATGAACTTGAATTCTTTGTCCTCCTGCCTCCACCTCTCAGGTACTGGGGTTGGGACATGTGCAACCACAGTTGGCTTTGTGTACATTTTAAAGATTGAAAAATACCCAAGATATCTGGATGTGGTGGTGCACGCCTTTAGTCCCAGCACTCAGGAGGCAGAAGCAGGCAGATCTCTGTGAGTTCAAGACCAGCCTGGTCTACATAGTGAGTTCCAGGCCAGCTGGGGCTACAGGGAGATCTTGTCTCAAAAAGACCAAAAAAAGAAAAATACCCAGGATATAAAAAAACTATATTTCAGTGCTAAGATTATAATATTACTGTTTTCTTCATGCTTTAAATAAAATATTTGTGTTTCTTTGAATTTTTTTTTTTTTTTTTTTGGTTTTTGAGACGGGGTCTCTCTGTAGCCCCAGCTGTCCTAGAACTCACTAAGTAGACCAGGCTGACCTTGAACTCACAGAGATCCGCCTGCCTCTGCCTCCCGAGTGCTTGGGATCAAAGGCATGCATCACCATGACTGGTGGAATTTTTTTTTTTTTTATGTTTAAAAATTTGTATTTTATTTGTTATGCATGTGTATATATGGTGTGTGGGGTTGGTGCTCATGCCGTGTTGCGTGTGGAAGTCAGAGAACAACTTTCTGGAGTCAGTTCTCTCCTTCCATCTTTACATGAGTCCTAGGACTCAAACTCAGGTCATCAGGCTTGCATGGTTGGGTGGCAAATACCTTAACCTGGTAAGCCATCTTTTGGGTCTCTGATTTGTTGTTATTTTTAGACAGGGTCTTAAATAGCCTAGACTGGCCTCAAATTTGTGTGGCTGAGGCAGGTCTTGAACTCATGATCGTCCTGCTTCCACCTTCCGCGTGCTAGGATTATAGGGTTAGGTTGTGTATATTACTTTTTAAAAGTCAAAAATAAATACATAAATTTCAGTTGAAGTAAAATGACATTATTTCATTTTGTGCAGCTGGCCAGCTTTAGTTCCTCTTCTTCATCTCCATACCCCACCACTGTGGGCCCTATGGAGAGCAGTGGATTGAGATCTCGCTACCGTTCCTCACCTACGGTCTATAACTCACCGACTGACAAAGAGGACTACATGACAGACCTGCGAACTTTGGACACTTTTCTTAGAAGTGAAGAAGAGAAACAGCACAGAGTTAAGCTGGGTGCGCATATTTTATTTGTATCTAATGTACATATTTTTGTTGTTCTTTCACACTATTCTTAAACTATTATTAGAACTCTGAAATTTAGGAGGTAAAATAGAACTGAACTGGGAAATCTTGAATCTTTCTCTGTAGTAAATTTGAAAGCCCTTTCGTGTAAATAGAATTTCCCTAAATTGAAGGTATACATGTTTTGAAGCAATGCATAGCAAAGCTCTTTCAAATGATAGCTGCCTCTTCTCAGCTAGTCTTTCAGAAGGCTGGTGTTTAAGGCATCATGAGAAAAAGGCATGTATTGCCCCCAAATGTGCTGCTGATTTTTTTATATAACATCTTAAAATTTGTCTCTTAATATTTCTTTAAAGCTGATAGTTTACCTTGGGAAGCAGTGTTAGCAAGTCTTAATCTATTTAGGGTGGATTTGATTATTACAAAGTCAATTATTTGAAACCAAATTAGGTTATTGAATTGAGTAATGATTTTCCCCCTCAGGAACTTTCACAGAAAGCACATTAGGTGCAAAAGCATGGCTATGGTGAGGAAGCCAAGTTATTGGAGCATGGCTCTTTGTGTCGCTTGAAATCTCTCTAGGGGTTTTAAATTTAATTCTGCCTAAAAGTGCCACAAATGTCAAAGAAACAAATCAATATTATCTTGTTATTTTTTTCCTTTTTGAAATTTTGAAATATTTGAAATTAGCTGAAATTACTGAGTATAGACAGAGAACAGCTGGTACACATCTTGTGATTTTCAGATTTTTCTGCGTCTTTATTTTTTCTTTCACATTTAGTATCATTATTGATGTTGTGTTATTGCTGTTGCTTTTCATTGTCGTGCCTGACAAGACCTAGTTATCTTCATTTCCTCCTAAGTTAATTATAGTGTGCTTAGAGATTCTGGCCTATGTTTATTAATGTCGGGGTTTCTCTTTTTGTGTAGGGAAGGCAGATTTTTTGGCAGATTAAAAAGAATACATAGTCCAGATTCTGGTCTGTATCTCTTTTGTGTGGTATGTCTTTGTCTATTCCTATAATTTTTTTATTTATTTATTTTTTTTTTTTTGGTCTTTTTGAGACAGGGTCTCCCTGTAGCCCCAGCTGTCCTGGAACTCATAAAAAGAATTTTTATTATTATTATTATTTTTTTAGTGTATGCATATATTGCCTGCATGTAGGTAAGTCCACCGTGTTGTGCACTGCCTGAGAAGGACAGAGGAAACTGTTGGATCCCCTGGAACTGGAGTTACGGACAGCTGCTAGCTGCCATGTGGGTGCTAGGATTCGAACCTAGGTCTTCTGCAAGAACATTCAGTGTTCTTAACCGCTGAGCCATCTCTCCAGCCCACTAATCCTATACTTCTAACCACTCTGTGTTTTCAGGTTTTAGGTAATTAGGTATTTTGCACAAATTAATAAATAATATTTTGTGCAAACCTACTCTCAGACTACATAAATGTCTTGTTATTTACCAAAATGTAGTGCTACTTTTAACATCTTTTTAAAATTTTTTAGTTTGTTCTAATGGGGACTTTTTGTTTTTCTGTTTTTGAGACAGAATCTTGCTATTAAGTAAGCTCAGGCCAGCCTGGAACACACTCTATAATCGAGGCTTATCTATGAGTCCTAGGATTGCAGGCAGCTATGGGGACTTCATAATTGTATCATTCCATCTATGTTTGTCCCCATTTGTGTGGGAGAGGTTCCTGTGTATGCAGGTACTAGATGCAGGAATTTCCCTCAGGTGCTAGTCACCTTGTGTTTATTTGAGGCAGGGTCTCTTAATGACCTGGAACTCACCAGGCTGCCAGCTACCAGCCCCAGGACTCCACCTGCTCTACCTCTCTAGCACTGGGATTACAAGCACAGGTCATTATGCTTGACTTTTTGTGGGGGTTCTTGGGATGAAATTCATGCCCTCATGTTTGAGTAGCAAGCACTTTACAACTGAGCCATCTCCCTAGCCTCATATATTTCTTATTGTGATGAAATTTATGTAAGATTTACCATTGTAACCTGTTTGTTTGTTTTGATTTGTTTGAGACAAGTCTCAACTATGTAGCCCTGGCTGGCATAGAACTCACTATGTAGACCAGGCTGGCTTCAGACTCACAAATCCTCTTGCCTGTCTGGAGTGTTGGGATTAAGGGTGTGCACCACGAAGCCCAGCCCCGAATTTCACACTTGAAACTGCTGAGTGTGATGGCTTATATCTTTAGTCCTAGCACTCGGGAGGCAGAGGCAGGTGGATCTCTGAGAGTTGAGGCTAGTCTACATAGCAAGTTCCAGGTCAGCCATTGTTAGAAAGTGAGACCCTGTCTCAAAAAAAGAAGCATTAAGTATGAAATTCAGTAAATAGTAATAATAAGTGTATCCACATCATTATGCAACCAGCTTTTACATTTGTTGTCATTCTATAAGACAAAGCTTTTCTTACCACTATGTCATTTATTTTAGAAACTTTATTTTTTCCGCCACTCTATTTTTTTAATTTATATATTAATTTTTTAAAACTTTTATTTATTATTTTTATTTTGTGTGTATGAGTGTATTGCCTGCATGTAGGTAAGTGTACCCGTGTCGTGCAATGCCCGTGAGGACAGAAGAGGATGTTGAGTCCTCTGGAAGTGGAGTTATGGACAGTTGTTAGCTGCCATGTGGGTGCTGGGATTTGAGCCTGGGTCTTCTACAAGAACAACCAGTGTTCTTAACCACTGAGCCATCTCTCCAGCTCCTATATATTAATTTTTTTACTATTATTTATTATTGTGTATTGAGGGGCACCTGGGCCATTGCATGCATGTGGAGCTCAGAGGACCACTTTGTGGAGTTGATTCTCTCCTTGTCTCTACATGGGTTCCAGGGATTGAATTCGGGCTGCCAGGCTTGCACAACAAGCACCTTTACCCACTGAGCCATCTTGCCAGCCCAGTAAGTTTATTTTGATGGTTGCATTGTCCAAGATTCAGCTAGTGAGATCCTCTTTAAAATGGTACCTGAACTCTTTCTGCCATTCTTGGAGCATTGTCCTGTCTGCCTGCACGCCATCTTCACATTCCTCCCCACTCTCTAGAACCACAAAATAGTCTAGGCTCCTGTATTCACCCTGACTGGCTCTGGAGTCATTCTATTTTTCCTGAATCCTGATTCTTTTTTAGGAGAATCTGAGTATGCTGTTGTACTGAGGTACTCTATTTTAGGCCTTTATAGCATGCAGGTAGCAAATAGTCTATATTGGTACTTCCAATTCCATACTCACAACTCATTTTTTCAGTGGCAAGAACTTAGGCACTTGTTCACAGTCATTCACACTCATTCACGCTCATTCACAGTCTCCATCTTTTATACACACCCACACTTTTGAAAATCAGTTTGTAGGCCTTATGACACTTCATCCCTCAATATTTCACGTGTGTCCTCTGAAAACAAGGACAGTTCCCTTGTATCTTCAGTATGATCGTAATACTTGAGATACTGCTGTTACTCAGGCACATCAATACAGCTGACCCAGTAATGACCTTTATAACTTCTTTTTCTTTTTTTGATGCAGGATCCAGTCAGGGATCACATACTACATTTATTGTACTTGTTTTGCCTTCTTTAATCTAGAACATGTGTACATGCACTTGTGCGTCTTTATGTCATTAACATTTTGAACAGGTCAGGCTATTATGCAAATTTGGATTTGTCTGATCATTTTCTCATCAACTTCAAGTATTTCTAGTTACAGTTCAGTGATATGTCTCAGTGTATTACATCAGGAGATACATGGTACCATGGTCAAGATGATAGAAGCAGGTTTCTCTGTAATAGTCTTCCATTTGTTTCCTGTTCCTCAGCAACCTTTCCTCCAGTGAACCACCATTGAGCTTGCTTGAATGGATTTGTGCAGGATGGTTGCAAAATGGAGACTCTGTAATGAAAATTTCTTTGACATTTAATGACTTGGCATTCTTGTGTAAAGAACAGCCTCATTTTTATCTCTCAGCCCAGTTTAGTCACTTTGGACTTAAAGTGTAGCTGTGTCTAAACTTGTTTAAATCAGTTGATTGTATTAAGCCCGGTGACTTGTCATTTCCATTTTTCAGTTTTAATTCTCAAATATACCTCATTTTTAATAAAGTACCTTATTTCAGTCTTTTGTTCAGAGTTTTCCTATCTCAGTGATGTTAAACCCACTTTTTCATTTTGTCCAATAATTGAGTTGTCTGAAGTTCTTGGAAGCTAAATACTTACACTTCTGCTATGTTGACTTTTATGTTTAAAGTCGCATTTTCTAGTGATTTGTGTAATTTTTGTTGTTTTGATAAATAAAATGTTCACCTTTCAATTTTAACAATGCTTTGTCTAGTCTGAGCCTCACTCCATCCGTTTTGTATTTAACTTTATCAGGTACCCAAGGAGTATCTTGGATCTTGAGCTAACTTAAGCACTTCTGCTATGTTGACTTTTATGTTTAAAGTCGCATTTTCTAGTGATTTGTGTAATTTTTGTTGTTTTGATAAATAAAATGTTCACCTTTCAATTTTAACAATGCTTTGTCTAGTCTGAGCCTCACTCCATCCGTTTTGTATTTAACTTTATCAGGTACCCAAGGAGTATCTTGGATCTTGAGCTAACT